AAGAAGGCACCAAACCGGGAAGGCTATGTAGCACCATCAAATACGCAAAATAATCAGAGGGCGCTAAATATCGCCAAGGATGCCAATACGAGAACAAAAACGCATAAGGCGAACGATATCAAAAGTATCCGAGTCACCAAGAATTCTATCGAGGGATAGGTGACCGCGAGAGGCGGTCGGAAAGCAAGACACACGCTCGTCCTGGAAGTCAGGACATTCAAGAAGGACATGCACGACCGTAAGAGGGACAATGCAACTAGGACAATAAGGAGCAGGGTGGCGCTCCATCAAGTGACCAGGGGTTAAGCGAGTATGGCCAATACGCAACCTCGCCAGAGCTGTTTCCCACCGCCGGTTACGGTGGAAGGAGGACGGCCACGAGGAAACACAACATTTAAGAGTACGTAGCTTGTTACCAGTAACAGACAACCAAGAAGCCTGCCAACGGGTAAGGACTGAGGAATGGATAACCGGGTAAAAGTCGGAATACGGAATGCCTTTACGAGAGATGGGACAAGAGCGTACAGCTTCCTTGGCAGCAGCATCCGCACGCTCATTTAAAGACACACCAATATGGCTGGGAACCCAACAAAACTCAACCGACTTAAATTTACTGTGAACGAGAAACAGCCAATGCTGGATCTCGACAACTACTGGATGAACCGGATTAAAGGACCCGAGGGCCATGAGGGCACTACGAGAGTCAACAACAACTACAAAGGAAGACTGACAACGAGAAAGCAGGAGACGAAGAGCATAGAGAATAGCATAAAGTTCCGCTGTAAAGATGCTAGTCTCTGGAGGCAAGCGACACATATAAGTGCAATCAGGAAAAACAACAGAGTAGCCAACACCGTCCGCTGACTTAGACCCATCGGTGAAGACAGAAATGGAGCGGGAGTGAGAAGAAAAGTGCTCGAGGAAAAGGCGTTTTAGAACCGTAGGAGGGGTAAAAGCTTTAGTGATACGGGTCAAGGATGTACAAAACCGCGGAAGAGGGACCCTCCACGGGGGCAAAGAAGGAACAACACGAGGAGAAACATCAGAAATACGAACGGAAAGAGAATCCTGTAGGCGAGATAACCGGACAGAAAGAGGGAGGTGGTGAAGAGGAACAGGAACCGCAGGAGGGGTAAAAGTTAAAGCACGACAGAGGCGAGAGGAAGGATGTTGCAAGGACCGCGCAAGATAGCGAAGACAGTAGCAATCACGGCGGTCCTGGAGAGACAGGAAGCCAGTGTCAACATACAAGCTAAGGATGGGAGTCGAACGAAAGGCACCAGAACTGAGGCGCAACCCAGTATGGTGCAAAGCATCAAGACGGCGAAGAGTAGAAGGAGAAGCAGACGAGTAAGCAGAGCAACCATAATCGAGCTTAGACAGGACAAGAGAGGAATGTAAAGCAAGGAGAGTGCGCCTATCTGCCCCCCAAGAAGTATTAGACAAGACCCGAAGGAGGGTAAGGGCCTTAGAGCACTCAACACGGAGGTAAGAGATATGGGGAGACCAAGACAAACGAGTGTCAAGGAATAACCCCAAAAGCTTCGCGGAATCTTTGTATTCAAGGGGATGACCATAAAGTGACAAAGAGGGACGAAGAACAACCCATTTCCGCGTAAAAGTCATGGCACAAGTCTTAGAAGTAGAGAACTTGAAGCCATGATCGGTGGCCCAAGACGACACAGCATCAATTGCAAGTTGAAGCCGGCGCTGAAGGAGAGGCGAATCATCACCCTGACAGCAAAGGGTAAGAGCATCGACATAGAGAGCGGAGAAGACACCAGAAGGAAGAGAGGAAAGAAGACCATTGAGGGCAACCAGAAAAAGAGTAGTGCTCAGAACACTACCCTGGGGCACACCTTCGTATTGCTGAAAAGAGGCAGAGAGCGCGGTACCAAGGCGCACCCGAAAGGAACGACGGGAGAGGAAGCTGCGGAGAAAGAGAGGGAGATGACCACGAAGGCCAAAAGAATGAAGTTGAGATAGAATATGATATCGCCAAGTGGTGTCGTAAGCCCTTTTCCAGGTCAAAAAGGACGGCAACAACGGAGGTCTTCGCAGCAAAAGCAGTACGAATATAGACCTCCAAGTTCACCAGGACATCTGTCGTGCTGCGGCACTTGCGGAAACCAAATTGAGAAGGGGAGAGGAGGTGATGGTGTTCCAGGAACCACATCAGACGAACGTTAACCATACGTTCAAAGAGTTTGCAGACACAAATTGTGAGAGCAATAGGGCGAAAGTCCTTAGGGGAAGTACCCAGAGACCCCGGTTTGCGAACAGGGTGAACAACGGCATCGAGCCAGTCCTCAGGGACTGATGACAACTCCCAGATCCGATTGTACAGACTCAGTAAATACTGAGACGTGCACGGAGGGAGATGGCGAAGCATCTCATAATGAATACCATCGGAGCCCGCCGCCGTAGAACCGCAGAGGGCCAGGGCAGAACGAAGTTCACAGAAAGAGAAGGGATCATTATAGGGAAGTCGAAGACGAGTGCAGAAATCTAAAGGACGAGACTCAAGGACAGGTTTACGAAGAAGAAAAGATTGGTGAAGATGAAGACCAGAGCTAACAGAAGAAAAGTGGGAACCCAGTACGGAAGCGACCTGCAACGGGTCCGCCACAAGAGTATCATGGAGGTGAAGGACCGGTGAAACATCGAGAACGAATTTACCCGCTATCTTGCGGATACGCTTCCAGATCTGGGCCAGAGGAGTTTCGGACGTAATTGTTGAGACATAAGATGCCCAACATTCACGCTTAGCGGTACAGATCGCCCTACGGGCCACCGCACTCGCTTTCCGAAAGAAAAGAAAAGAATCAGTCGTCTACCTACGGCAGTGCCTCTTCCAGGCTGCACGCTTACAGCGGACAGCCCGAGCACAGTCCGCATTCCACCAGGGAATGCACTTCCGTGGACCCCGAGAGGAAGAGCGAGGGATAGAGTGGAGGGCAGCGTTGAAGACAGTGTCATGAAAAAGGAGGAGAGCGCGAGAGAGAGGTAGAAGGGAGAGGTCAGAGAGAGTAGCACTGAGGGTAAATAGGGTCCAGTCCGCCTTAGCAAACTGCCACCTAGGGAAAGAGAGGGAAGGGCGAAAAGAGAAAAAGGAAACAAGGATGGGGAAATGATCACTTCCATGGAGGTCATCAAGAACCTGCCATGTGAAATATAAGTAAAGAGAAGAAGAGCAGAGAGAAAGATCAAGACAAGAAAGGGTGCGAGTCCGAGAGTCCAAATGAGTGGGCTCACCAGAATTCAGAAGAGACAGGGAAGAAGAGAGGAGAAACGGCTCAAGAAGGCGACCCCGGGTATTCGTCAGAACGTCACCCCAAAGAGAATGACGACAATTAAAGTCACCTAGCAGGAGCACAGGCTCCGGCAAGGAGTCTAGGTGGTGTTTCAAATCAGGAAGAGAAAGCGGGACACTCGGGGGGAGATAAATGGAACAGACTGTGTACCATTTCCCCACAAAGATACGAGCAGCAGAACAATGGAGAGGCGAAGGAAAAAGTAAAGGAACAAAGGGAACATCAGCACGAATCAAAAGAGCAGAAGAATTAGAAGCCCCAGCAACGGCTGGGGGGGGGGAGAGAAAGGAATAGCCACGAAAACGACCAGGACGAGCACCAAGCATCGGCTCCTGGAGACAGACACAAAGGGGCGAAAACCGCGAAATCAGAAGCTGGAGTTCGAGGAAATTGGCATAATAACCTCGAACGTTCCATTGAAGAATGGACAACGACGAGAAGAGAAAGGACAGAGAACAGAGAACAAGGAAGAAACAAAGGCGAAAGAGCAACAGAGCACGTTAAATAATATCAGGGTCGGGATCAGGGTCAGCAAAGTCAGGGTTAGGGGGCATGGGTAAACTGAGCAAAGACGGAGGGAAGGAAACGGGAGAACAGAGGTGGGCGGAACGGGGTCCGGAGGACGAGGAGGAGGAGGAAGAGGAGGAGGAGGAAGAGGAGGAGACAACGGAGAGGAGCAGTCAAGGACAGCAGCAGGAAGAGGAGGGGTAGAAAGAGGGGAGCGTACCTCAGCAAGGGCAGCAACCGAGAGGGAAGCGGGGGCTAAAGAAACCTCCATAGCAGGAACAGGGGGCGCAACCACCGAAATGGGAGGGGAAGGAGCGAGGCGCTCCCTCTCGATGGAGGGAGAAATCGTCAGGAGGCGCAGAATCAAGAGGGAGGAGATCAAAATATTTGGCCCACGAAGCAGGACCAAACAAGGCTTGATAAGTAGCAGAACTGGAAGGAATCGAGCGAGGGCGGCTGTGACGAGGACGGGGGTGAGAACCCCCAGAGAGAGAGGGGTTAAAGGCGCAGTAGTTACAACTAGAGAAGGAGCCGTGCCAGGGGACGAGGTAGTCACTACTGGGGACTTGGGGCTCAACCCAACCACAGAGGAGGGAGGGGAGCCAGGGGAAGGAGTCAGAGAGGCCAAAGGAGGAGCAAGGTCGGGGCCCAATGCAGCGGAGGCTACAGAGCCCGGTCTTCCAACACAGACTGACTCGGGGGCTTGGTCGCCCACCCCACGATCCTGAGAAGGTAAACCAGAAACAGCTGAAACAGGGGTCATCATCATTACGAAAAGAAAAATTCATTCACGAATGTGCCCCCACACCCACCATGGAGCCACAATTAGAGGCAGGACACCCAACAAGAAGCTATCGCCGATCTTGCCGGGGCCTCCTAGGGGTACGTCGTGAGTATACGCCCCACAAACGCCACCTTAAGAAACCGACAGTCCGTCGAAATCGGGTTCAGTGACGAAAGGGGGATTGACAATAAAAGGTTCCCCTCGCTCTCGACGTCGGGTACTACAGTTCTACAGGTGCAGTTCTACAGGTGCCTCCTCAAGCACCCGGGCGTCAAAATAGAAGAAGTCCAAGGGAAGAACCAGAACAAGCAAAAGGTCGGCAGGAAACGGCAAGCAGATAGAAGAAGAGGGGGGAGAAAAACGAAACAGAAGGAAAAGGAAAAGGTGCCCAGCAGAATTGGAGAGGACGGCAGCAGGAGCACAAGGCTAGAAAGGGACAGAGGACTGTCCCAGGGAGCATCACACTCCGGCAGCCGCCCACTAAGCCCCCACACGGCAACGAGCTGAGCGGGGAGGGGGTACTCGAGTAATTAATAAAAATTCCTACTAAAAATATTCACTGGTGGACCTACCTGGAGAATCTACTTCAATAATTACCAATGATAAATTAATGTTTTAGAGACCAGGAATACTAATGCACAAATAAATTTGATATCAAAAGAAGACTTCATTTTTTATAATGACTTTGCAGAACTTAAAAATTTGATTCTTTACAGCCGCTGAAGTAGAAACCCTCAGCAATGATGTAAGTTATATCAGATCAGATTTTATCTCTCGACATCAAGAGCAGTGACAGCAGTGAGGTAGTTATGACATGTAAGGGAGGTATGAAGTAGTTGTCCACCTCCATTACTACCCATTCCTCCATTTGTACTTCCACCACACTGAACCTGACACACCTCATCCAGCTCCCATGTAGCTCCTCCATCACTGTCAATACAAATCATAAGCAGTTATTATGTATAACCTTTCAGATAAGCATGAGAGAAAAACATAGAGCAATTAACATTTTGCATTTCATCATAAATTAGTTACGTATATCGCACAAAATTCTCTTATCAACACAAAAGGTGAAATTGGTACCAGCTATGAGCAGATGACAAACTGTAAAGTAATGAAGTAAAAAAAATGTATTCATTATAGGAGTCTGAAATAAAATGGCACAGTTGTTAGCTTAGACGAAATGATTGTAAATAATAAAGTTTGCACATGTTGCATCCAAGTAAAGAGATGCTAGTGTATCGTTCCATTATTCTGTAGTCCTGTATTTGCTTCAGGTGTGTGTTTTCTGTCTGGTTTTGTTGAGTGGACTTGGCTTTTTGTGCTCTGAACTGCATGCTCCCAGTAGTTACTTTCCTGGATATTCGTGATCACTGCCCATGCACTGACAGAGTTCATTCTCTGGTGTGTTTGGAATTTGTCCTTTCAAGGCCAGGCCACCGGGGTAGAGTTGATTGAAACAAAGCCTAAGCCACCCAATGTCCATCCACAGATGATAATCATCATATGACAATAACCACATTCACCTATTAAGTAACTACAGTAATGAGTAACATGATTTACTAGTAACTAATGAGAGCAGCATTTGAGTGCCTTACTATGGGAATTTCAGGGGTCTTCTGACCTCTTTGTTTAGGTCCTTGGTCAGAGGTGATCATTTGGTTGTGTGGGGTGCACTCATGATTGATTGATTGATGAAGATTAAGCCACCCAAAAGGTGGCACGGGCATGAATAGTCCGTAAGTGGTGGCCCTTTTGAGCCATCACCAGTATCAATAGATGATACTGAGATCTGTGGAGGTGCGACTACACCCTGCGTGACGGGAGATGTGTCCCGTATGCACTCATGGCATGCGCTCTTTATTTATATGGCACACTGTGGGGTACCATTTTCCAGCACAGAGAAGGGCTGCTGATGGTTCCCATTTTCTTTGGCGAGCATCTCCAGTGCCTGGGAGTACCTGTCTGGTTTATTACCAGCGGGCCCTGGTATTTCCCAACGGGTCTTTTGCAAGGTCAATTATGCATAAAGGATGGCCTGATAAACCTGCTCTCCCCAACTGCGATTTTGAAGGCTGTTCGCCACCTTTGCTACAAGGCGACAATCATTCTTTCTGCCTCTACCATGCTGTAGGCTGGGTTGTTGACTCTTACAACCCCAATCCTGCCACTGAAGTCGAGGCATTTCAGGCAGCTGCCATATTATGGGCCCCTGCACAGTATTGAGAGCCATTTCTAATTCATCATACAAGTAAACAACACCTACCCTCCTTTCATCGTCAACCCACTGACCTAACCCCATGAACAGAGTAAACATGATCTGGTCTTGTTCAACTCATGTGAGTTTGTGGGTAAAGCATGTACAGTATCATAATTACCTAGATGGTGCCTGCTCAAGATAACTGGTGCGCACACAGCCATCACTGGAGGCAGAGATTAAGAGAGACGAGTCGGAGGACCAGCAGAGGCCAACCATGGACTCTAGGTGTGGTGAGACTTCTGTGCTTCCATTGCTACCCTGGCATCCACTACTTAGCTCAGTAAGCACCCGCCCACCAGCCAGATCCCACACCACAACTGCTCCATCATCACTTCCTGAAGCTAGGTATCTGTCAGATTATAGAAATCACAAGTTAATATCATAACTTTTATATAAACAATTTGCATTGCTTACACATTTATCTCCTGCATTATATATACCATAGATATATATCATGAATATACAAACTTAGAATGTATGATAATGGATAAATATGACTTCAGAAACTTCAGAGTTTCTGAGGGTGTTTTGAATATGAAAGTGCTAGAGCCATTTCCAGTTTCCATTTTCTTCATGGATATCTGATCACATTTTATCTGATTTTGTGATTTGAACACTAAATTAATATCTGACTATAATTAATTGGATGCTTCTACATCCCAAATGAAACTACACTATCAAAACACTCAACAATACAGTATGCCTCTTTTCAACATTTTCACAGTTGGACCCCCTCACAACACACCTGTCAGTGAACAGTTTGGCCCTCTTCATGCCCTGTTCGCTATTGCGTAAAATACTCATATTTTTAGCATTATTATACAAAATTAAAAACATGATAGATCTATACACAACTATAAAAGCATCACCTTAATACTTTCTCCTCAGACGATTTGCAAAGTGACAAGAAAATACACGCATCTTGAGTAATGGGGTGGTTGTTCCAGGGGATCTCTGGTTGGTCCCCTGTTAAACTGTCCAGACTGTGCTCATGTATTTTAAGTGTTTCATAATGAAGACACAAACAATGGATTAGGAAGTAATTTTCAGAAAAATCTCTAGTGGGCTCTAGCAGCACATGAGCAGGATGGAGGTGAAAGAATGTGCAAGAAAGCCTACAAATTACTACCGAGGACAGAGGTACATGAAACCCCCACCGAGACCAGTCCAGCCGAAAGGCATCCACAGCGATGCACTCCGGGGCCTGAAGAAGTGTAACCAAGTAGGACACCTAGGCATTAGGGATACTTTTTTAATTCTCTGGAAGGAATGACATCAAACACAGCCTACAGAATAAATACTGCTACAAAAGCCTCAAGCGAGTGCTGTACTAAGAAGCGCATGACCCTAGTCTGCCCCACATGAAAACAAATCAAACACCCCAACTGTAGAACCCCCAGAGCCCAATGATATATGCAAGGTTCTCCACCCCAGTGGCCTGGCTTCTCAGGAGGTGAACTCCTGAACACACCAGAGAGGTCTGTGTCAGTGCAGTGACAACACTGAACATGCACATAGGAAAAGGCTGTCGTAAACACATGCAGCTTATAGCAAATACTGGACCAAGTTCATGCAAGAAGTAGGGCTTGTAAACATATGCACGTGAAGCAAATACTAAAGGCTAGGAACAATACACAAGTAAATGGCCCCACAGGCCAGAATAAAAAGGATGGCCTTTGAATTATTTACTTATCTTGGAAAAGAAATGGGACTCGCTGTGGCTTGGTGACTCAGGACGGTCTAATTGAGCTATATGGAAAGACTTGAGACATGATGATTTTTTTTAACCATGACTAGTGTACTGTATTCCACTAGTACTAACCAACAAATGTGCTCAAATTAAGAGAACCCACCAGAAATTATTACAAAAATCACGAGTGACTAAAAATCCAGGAATCACCATACAGAACCAGAAACAATGCTGTTAAAATACTGTACACATAAAGTGTCAAGTAAGCAATTCTATTAGCCTCTATGGACAAAAATGGAAGACCAGTGGTGCCATAGCCACCACAGTATACCAGCAACCTGCAGTGCCATAAGTTAACTCTGCCATAACACCAATGACATCTCCATGACTCGGGGATAATGCACTAACCAACTAACCAATCACACCATATAAAAAAGTATCATCTACATATACAAACCTATAGTGGACAGGACTATGTCCTGTCTACTATGGGACAGGACCTCTCTTATTAACCTCTTAATAAAAAAGAGACTTCTCTTACTAAGAGAGAGAGAAAGGTCTTAACCTCTCTCCTTCCAATGTTCTGCTACTTATCCTGTCTTCTCTCCCCTTACCAAACCCTGTAGTCATAAAACAAAAACAAAACTTTGGTCACAATGGTCATCCCTCTCTCCTTTCCTGAGGCAGCAGCAAACCATAAGACCTTATATTCATTTACGATGTTCAGAATAAAATGCTCAAGGAGCCAAATATGAATAAAGCAGTTGGCCTAGATGGAGTCTCGGAGAGATGGATACCAAGATAACCTCTATCATAAAAACTAAGTAGATTTGTAACACAGGATCTTCCTGTGTAACAGCGACGAAGAGAAACCAAGCCGATGTGGGGACCCGATGTGATTTTGTTGACCCAAGTTAAGTCTGCAGTGTCTGAGTATAGTATGGGGGACTAACTGGGTGTGAAGTGTTGTTGTGACAATTCGGAGTTAAGGATATAGGCTGAGGATATGAGTTGTAGATGGTGACCAGTTAGGTCCAGTGTGTTTATTGGTAAGGCTAGCCAAATTAGTAACATTTGATTTGCTATAATGTTATTATTGTCAGTTTAGTTTATATAATTAAATTATAAAACCCGATTGCCTTTAATCACCTTCCATATGTTCTCTAATGTGAGTTCCAATACAAACCCAAGAGAGTGTGGTAATATATATTATTTTTTAAGAGGAACATCTCATGATCATAAATGTGATATACTAGTAATTTGATATTGTTGCAAGTACTGTACAAATAATCTGGTATTAGTGCTCACGACACTTCCGGAACTGAAAGACAAGAGCTACAAGGAGATATGATCACTATGTACAAAATAGTTATAGGAATCAACAATACTGATAAAGAAGAATTCTTGAGACCTGGAACTTCAATAAAACTACAGGCTCACCATAGCCTGTGCTGCTTGGAACTTTTTGTTCCAAGTAGCGAATCTTAAACAACAACAACATTCAATAAAAAGAGGTCACAGATTTAAGTTAACCAAATAAAGCTGCCGTAAAAAAATATTAACATATTCTCTTTCGCAACCAGAATGGTAGACAGGTTGGAACAAGTTAAGTGAAAGGGTGATGGAGGCCAAAATCATCGGTAGTCTCAAAGCATATGACAGTAGGGATATGCAATGGTATCCCGTCTGAGAAGACGGGGTACCACGAGCACAGCTCTCATCCTGTAACTACACTTAACACTTGGATAATTACATATATATAATTATTGAGTAAATGAGACTTACGTCCACAAGACTACTCAAAATTTGAAGACAGGAGACATTTAAGGAATAGAATTATGGCACAACAAAAAGTTAGTCATAGTCAAATTTTAAGTCACAAAAATTTTGTTAAAACACTAGGAATGTTTTTTCACAAATATTGTAGTAGATAGCTAAAATAAGCACCAGGCAAAGAAAGTTGTTAAAACCGAGTATTTTAAAACTAGGCATACTGTATTTATGATCAGACATATAAAGACAGAACATCACAGGCACAGGTCTCTTACCATGACTTTAAATGGATAACAAGAACTGGAACTTGCTCCCCACAGACATATTTATATAAGCTCATACATTAACATTCATAAAGATTACAGTTATAGACTAGTGTGTCTGCTAATATATAATGCATATCATAAGAAAATAATAACGCTGTGAATTATCATAAAATACAAGAACTTATGTAACTTACTTTCCATTTGGAGAAAATTCTACAGCATTGATGGCAGCCTTATGATGGAGCAGGATCCTCGCGGCATCCCCATCTGTTACTTGCCATAGCCTAACTGTTCGGTCACAAGATCCAGTGGCTACATATGTGCCATTGGGGTGAAAAGCTACACAATCTACCGATTGAGTGTGACCTGCCATAGTGCGTAAGGGATATGTGCAGTCCGTGGTCCACAATCTAGCAGTGCTATCGTAGGAACCAGTTACTACATACATAGTGAGTGGTGCAATTCCCACACACCACACAGGATAGTTGTGGCCTCTATAAAGAGCAACTGCCTGACCACTTTCCAAATCCCACAGACGCATAGTCGTGTCTTCGCTGACAGACAGTAGGTAAGTTGAATCATGTGTAAATGCAGTATCAAGAATAGGTCCACTGTGTCCTCTTAGGGCAAAGAGCTCTCCTCCACGGTTTCTTCTTCTGCCGCCATTCCTTGCCTCTGCTATCATTTCTTCCTCTTCTCTTTCTTCCTCTTCTCTGACATCACCATCATCCTCAATACGTGAATTATCACATGCTAACAGGGTATGTGATATTCCACCTCTGGGTCCTAATACGGTACTAACCTTTCTAAACCCTACATTATGTACTGGAGGAGTTAGCTTCCACATTTTAATGACACTGTCTTCAAATCCACAAGCCAGCAATCTGCCTTCTGTATTAACACTGGCACAACTTAAGCCATTATAGGCATTAGAAACAGTATATACGCACAATGATGGTGGGGCAGGATGAGCTAACTTAATACGGGCCATCACATCTTTCATTTTTTGTAACTCCTCCTGACTGCAGTCCAGTCCATCTGCTGAGGTTATTGCTGAATCAGATGACATAGACTCTGGTGTGTGACCATTTACTAAAGCATTTGATGAATTGCAGTTTAGCTCTGGGCTACGGAAAACTGCTCCTGAACTACCAGCACTGGAGTCATCCACTTCCACCTCTATATATGTATTAAAGATCTGAAAAAGTAACATAATATTTTGAGACTGTTATATATACAGTATCTAATTGGATGTGTATATTTTTTCAGTTTCACAAAAGCAATTCAAGCCAAACTAACCTACTAGTAATACAAAAACCGATTAAAAGGAGTGAAACTAAGCATGAAAAGCCCATGAAAAATCCTCTTTATCATTCAGGGATCCAGCCAACACTTTGACTATAAACATTCAAAACTCCCTAGAAATAATAACCCTCTGACCACAATCTCCAAAAGTCACTGAACTCCACAGCTCCCCATAAATTAATGTTAATACAGTATTACTACAAATATTCCAGGGACCCAAACCAATGTTGGCATTTACCTTACTGGCATTATTCTAGTTTGTTATAACTAACACCAGTCAGTCCCACAGACATCCCCACAATAAACACATTCAAAGACCAAGTTGAAAAATTTATTGAAATGCCAACCATGATAAACAAAAAACCAGCGTTGAATGTAATGAAATGCCATTTTCTGGATGAGCCCCGGTGGCTCCCTGGAGCTATCGAAATGAAATATGCTATGTTAGTCTGGGGCTTCGGTCACATGGAGTTCTGTGTACCGGGAACCACAAGCCAGAACTTGGCTCCCTCAGAGAGGCACAGGGAGTAATAGCCTATGAAACTCCACTCTTTGAGAGTATATTCATGTCTGCCATCAACTGGGGTAGGGCACCCAGAAAAATAGGCGTCCCAAAACAAACTCCAATTGGCAGAATATTGCAACCCAAAGCCAAACAGAGCCTAAGAACTCCCCCCCCCCAAAGAAAACAATATAACATGTAAAACATCATCAAACTGATGCACCGACTGTTCGCCCTTGAGAAAACTAAAACAAAAACTGTCAACTGAAGGGATGGAGGGTGCCAGGGAGCCAATGAACAAAAACATCGTTCAATGTTTTCTGCTTACCCCGACTCTGAAAGCCTCAGATGTTTGGGAGCCGGCAGTTGGGTGGGGTGGGTGGGAGGGGAGACACCAACGGGGGAAAGGACTCGAGGGCGCAGACTGAACCAAGGTCGAAGCGACCAACGCCCCCCCAAGTCTGGGTTGCTAAACCCAAAACGAGGCAGCCCTGGGGCATCGGAGCGGGTGACCAATCTGGCGCATTGCAACAACAAAAACTTACCATGAAATGCGACAGCCACTTGACCCCTAAGAGCTGAAGAACAATGGGTAAATTGAAGAACGAGTAGGGAACAAGTCTCACACGACTCCAGGTCAAAGGTGTCGCCGACCTAACAAGCAGCACGACGGAGATAAAACAGATGATCATCACCCTGAGACAGGGGCAACGAACAATCCTCAAACACACAGAAGACGAGAGGGGACTCTGGAGGCACATCCATAGTAACCCAAGCCCTGATGGGGGATTCTAGGGCCCACAGGGGGATGTGTTCCTATGGAAAGCCCAGGCATTGGTGCTGCAAAGCAGGTTGAATCCCATCAATAACTTGGCAAATTGACCCCCTTTGAAGGGAGCAACCATGGGAGCCCTAGAGGAGGACCACCTAAAGAAACCTAGGCATATCTAATCGGGAGCTAGGTAGCCCTCCACCAGGCAGAAAAGAACTGGAAAACAAATGAAAAAAAAGAAAAAGTGTACTACAACAACAGGAGGCCAGAGAGAGACAGGAGGTGCTAGGTATGCGAGCTCGCAGCACCGTGCACCCTAACCAGCAACAAACACTCCCTACCCAGGGCCAAACGATAGCACCAAGACTCCTGCTGACCCCAAGGACAAGGTCATAGCAAAGCAACACCAACCCCACAGGAATGAGAACCCGAAAGCCCCAGGGAAGAGAACCCCTGAGACCCACGGAAAGTACAGTACTTACAGGGCGCCTAGTGAAGAGACCCCCTAAGTACATGCAACCTGAAATACAGCTTTCTCCTGACCACCACTCCACCCACACAGCAGGTACAACCGCAAGGGCAAAAGCCTGACAGGATATCGAGGGCCAGAGGTAATGTCAGCCCCAGTCGACTTCAGTCTACAAGCTGGTAGGTGAGCAGGCCCCCTCCGGGGAGAAGAGTGGGGGGAACACACGCACCGGTTTGATTGTTTTGCTTGTTGCATTGCTTTTCTTGGGGGTGGGGGGGGAGTTCTTGGGCTATGTTCGGCTTTGGGTTGCAATATTCTATCAGTTGGGGTTTGTTTTGGGATGCCTACCTTTCTGAGTGCCTTAACCCAGTTGACAGCAGACATGAGTATACAGTACTCTCAAAGAGTGGAGTTTTCATAGGCCATTGCTCCCTGCGCTTCTCTGAGGGAGCCAGGTTCTGGCTTGTGATTCCTGGTAGGCATTACTCCATGTGACTGAAGCCCCAGACGAATATCACATATATTGTATCAGTCTGATAGCTCCAGGGAGCCGATGGAGGGCTCTCCACAGAAAACAAAAAATAGCTGCTCTGGTGCTTTTGTCAGCCAATGATCATATCTTTAATAAATTTCAAACCTTCCCAGAAAGTTAGATGGTTGGGTTAGTGAAGTTAGATTACTTCCCAGAAAGTAATGTACACAAACAGCTATCTCAATGATATAAATAACCTAACCTCTGTGAAAACTATCAATATTATACAAGACAGCTGAAAAGACTAGACAGTTTAATTGTATCAGCTGCTCGATTATGGTATCCAAGGTACCCATGCCAGGCATATTCCACAACAACAACAACAAAACTTTGCCTCTAATATCCTATACAATAGTACCTTTGAGTGATAATGATGCCACCTATCAAATTTCTCAATAAATTTATCCAGAACTCTTTACACTGACAAGACTTTGGTAAACATGCATACACAAAGTTTGCTGGAGTAGCAACAACTTTAATCATATTTGATTGATAGTATAAATTCTATACATATAGCTGACATGAGGACTAACTTCAAATGAACCCACAAAACTTTAAGCAATCACAAAAACTTACCTGTAGTAAAATTGGGTTTTCTGTGGCTTTGAGGTATCGTAAGAAGTAATTCAAAGTTAGCTCACTCAGACGTATCAGGTATTTACCACTTCTGTAATAGAAATATTGCTCAACAGAAACATATTAACATAATGAAACTTAGGGCAAAAAACCAGCATTTCAAGTAATGAAATGCCATTTTCTGGGTGAGACCCGGAGGCTCCGCAGAGTTATACGGACCGATATGAATGTATTAGACCCTGGCATCAGTCAAAGCAAATGGAGTTCTGCCCACTGGGGACCACGAGCCAGAACCTGGCCCCCTCAGAGAGACACGAGGAGCAATGACCTATAAAAACCCCCCCTGTGTAGTTGGAAGCATTCTATGTCATCGACCGGGTCAGTCACCCAGAAAGGTAGGCACCTCAAAACAAGCCCTATCTGGTTAAAAAATTGATACTGAAAACTGAACTGTTGAACAGAACTTCCCCAACTAAAAACGAGCATGGCGTCACACCTGTCACCGCTCCACTATCTGCACAGCTCCCCTCTTTCCAGGAGGAAGAAGGGGAGCTCCATACCCCTGTGACAGCTATCCATCCCCAGTTCAGAGGCTGGATGTCAAAAACTGCAAAACTGCGGACCAGAGGGAGGGTGGGTTGCCGGGGAGCCTCTGGGTCTCACCCAGAAAAATGGCATTTCATTACATTCAATGCTGGTGTTTTTTGGTTCCTTTGTTCTCTAGAGCTACTTGACCAAAGATAAAAACAAGAGAGACTTACTCGGGAGGTGGTCGTTCCTCAACTCGAAGTCGAGACAACTGGCTGCAACCACCAACCCAATGCGACACATGCCCGACTAGGGCCAGGAACACTGATTAGGTAGCGAGCGACCAGGACCCTGTTCGACCTCCAAAAACCCTGTGCCAAAATGTCAGCCCCAAGACATATTATCAAAGACGGCAGCGAAAACGGAAACTTACAAACGTCATAGGCACGAGGATAGACCGCAGGCTGGCTCGAATAACCCTGCAGATGACCTGGGAGACCCGAACCTTTAACAGGGCAGAATGGAAACCGGATCAACCAAAAACTCGTCCAAGGCCACCGAGGCCGTGGCACGCAGGTAACGGCGAAGAGATGCAACCGAACACAATTTATCTTCAATAAAGTCTTTTCTTGACTTGGTGTTTCTCTACAACATTGACATTATTTTGTTTTCTTGCCCATCCATAATCTAAGTAGCAAAGACATTGCAACAAGAAAATTAATACAATTATTGAACCAATTCTTATAAAAAATAATGATTAAACAGTAATATTTTCTACAAGGCAATTTAAAGGCAGCCAAGTAAACTACTGTTTACAAGCTTTAAAACTGTACAAAATTTTGTACTAAATATTAACAAAATACTGTGTAAAGTACAGCACTTACTTGAGATTCTGAATAATAGGAGACGAGTTCATATCTCCCGATGCATTTATGTTAGCTGCATTCAGCACCTGTGATAGTGTGTTTTCATAGTCACGATTAACTAAGAATACCTGTGAACAAAAACACAACAGGGATATCAAATGCAAACATTTATTATGAATTACAATATTAGTATTATTGTGGTATTATAGTTATTTTTGTCTAATGACTTCTCCCACCCAGAACCTCCCAATGCACACAAAATTTAAAAGAATTACGGTAGACATTTGTGTTATTTTTGCGTCTCATAGGCCACTTTGTTTCCTCTACCCAAACTAAGATGAATTAAGATGACTATCTGAAACTGTACTATTAGATGCATATAACCTGTTCAAAAGATAATATAAATAACATGAAATTATTCATTAATGAATTCAAAATACAGTAACCTGTTAGATAATGCTGAAAGGTAGGAGAAGTTGATCAATAAAATATAAGCTGAAACTCGGGTACTGTACAGGGTAGCAAAGTATTACGTGATACTGAAGTTGGAAAACAGCTGATAGTAGTGACCAAGTATTAGAAGAGGAACAACTGTCTACTAATGGAGTGCTAATGGAGTGGTGAAGGATCCATGAACCACGACACATCAGAGAAATGACCTGAAATTCAAACTTCATACAGCTAGGTAACACTTTCTATACATAAAATCAAGTTTAGTTTGAGGCCGATATCATACATAGTTACAGTGCAAATACGTATACAAATAAAATAACTAAGTATCTATATTCAGTCTGTAGATTGGTCATTGCCCCCCATTCTTCACCCACCTCTTAGGGAAGACCTAGTATCCAGCTGATCAGTATAAACAAAATTTTTGGAGAAGGGAGACCCTCTCAGTTGGAAGGCTCAAGGGATTAACTATAGTCCCCGTGGTGCAGTGGTAAAAACACTCACCCAGCGCTTAGCGAGTGATTTGGCCTGGGTTCATATCCTGGTCAGGGAGGATTGACTAGGCGCCAAGTCTTAACTGTAGCCTCTGTTTACCCAGCAGTGAATGGGTACCTAGTTGTTAAATAATTTAGCACGTTGTATTCCAGGGAAAATTAAGATTAAGGACCTGCCAAAAACAATACGTGTGCTAGTGACTTCACAAGAATAATAAAAATAACAAAGTAATAAGAACTTGTAATAATATAATAAAGAAGCAATACAAATATATGTATTAATCTCGCAAGATAATAAAGATATTAAATTAACGGTTATAGCAAGGGGTATGGCAAATGCAGGGTGTGTGAAGAAAAAATCACTCAGAATGAAGTCAATTGACTACATGGTATGCCAAAAGGGCTACTATGTGACTGTTTAAAAATTTAAGATGAATTAATCTCTAATTACAACCTCACACATGTGGGGTCCACAATTCAAGTCTCCTAGAACGCAGGTGAACGGAATGTTTATTTCCACTGAAGTGTGGATGACAATTTATATGACATGGGTGTGGATCACTAATGCCTCTGAGCTTCAGTAGTAGTCAAGGAAAGTAAAAAAATCCATTTTGGCAGAAGGATGATGCTTCTGGAAACTTTTTTTTATTAAGATTACTCAATAGCTCGGTCGATACAGCTTCGGCCTCACACTCATTTGTGTCCGAGGTTCGATGTCCTAGAGCCCAGGTGAATGGAATAAAAACTTTTTTTATTTCTTTACATTTTGAATGCAAATATATAATTTTATGTTTTTTTTTTTTGTTTTTGTTTTTTTTTGCACACAGGCACAGTGACACATTTTATGATAGCCACACTAAGAGTTAAGCAAGAACCTACAACAATTCACATTTACAGTAAATGAAAATATAAATACCTTGAAAAAAAATTATTGTACTGTCCTGTGATGAAGATTACAGATACATGATCTACGATATTAATACTGCTGTGTATTTACAAAATGGAAAACAAATGAGCAAGACATTAAGAACTCATGACAATAAATGCATCCATTCTTATTTATTGAACTACAGATATAAGTTATCTAACCTGATAGTGCTTTACAAAAAACTTCTTGGCTGCTTGCCGTCCTGTGCCAGCCACCAGCTCCAAGTAAAGATGAATAAACAGAGGAAACAACACCTGTGACAACTCTGATCGACATGGTTCACTTGCCTCCATCATCCATGACTTGAGCCTGAACAAAGAACAGTGGAGACATATTAGTTTTGGCTAACAGAGAAAATGGAAAATAATAAAAACAAATGTGTAATATTCAAACCATAGATCTTGCATGGCTAATTACTGTATACAGTACAACAAATTTATCAGACAATGATTAGTCCTAAAAATTATTTAGAACTTTAAAAGGAAGAAACCTCTTTTGGAAAAGAACAGACCTGACATACTGATGATCAATGTGTGAATGGTGAGTTGAGGTGGTGGAGAAGGTGAAGCTATTGGGTGTAGAGGGAGACACCAGGCCTAATACTCCAGCTTGCTGCTCTGTTACTGTTCCCCCTGATGTCTGATTCTGCCAAATAAAGATAACTTGAAGAATAACCTTCATGTTAGAAGAAAAAGAGAGAGTACAAATAAATTTAATACTTAATTTTTGAGTCATTTAATGCTGTATCTAAATGCAGTATTGTAGGGTTTGCAAGTCTTCAGTTGTCAGCTGCAGTACACTACTAACAAAAATATTACATTGTTCGAAAATACAACTTTGATATTTTTTTTTTTTTTTGCAGGGATATTCCTGTGCGGGCCCTAAGCCTCTGGCTGGCCCACTAAGTGTTGCTTGTTTCTGTTTTACTTGGGTGGAGTATAAGTATTTATGACTCGTATGGTCGCTTCAGTAAGATTTTGCCTTTGATATGAATTGAGAGAAATGATTTTTATAATGACCATAATCTAGTTTGTAGCTGAAATTTGTATGGAGATACATTCATTTACAAAAATACACTGTTGAACGAAATTGTGTCATATACTAGGCATCCAGCCATCTTTGTGCTAATATCTTGCAAAGAAACTATCACTCATTTGTAAAATAATTTCACAAGTATAAATATGTATAACATGATTATAATTTAAATTAATAGCATTAACAGGAATTTAGTAGAAAATCATTAAACTTCTTAATATTCATTTACACTGTAATCCTACTGGTAGACCACTGTGGTAGTCCTACTGGTAGACCACTGTGGTAATCCTACTGGTAGATCACTGTGGTAATCCTACTGGTAGATCACTGTGGTAATCCTACTGGTAGATCACTGTGGTAATCCTACTGGTAGACCACTGTGGTAATCCTACTGGTAGACCACTGTGGTAATCCTACTGGTAGACCACTGTGGTAATCCTACTGGTAGACCACTGTGGTACTGGTAAACTACGTACTGGTATCCCACTGTGACCTTTCAGACCACATACAGTACCTCCAAATTTCTCCTCTTCAGATACTCGTTCACATTAGCCATTATTTTTTCTGTCCTAAATTTCTTCATGTTCTAGTGGGTGAAGGCGGTCATGATCCAGTGGGTGAAGGTCTCCTATACGCTGGGTGGAGGGTGAAGCCCTCTCCTCCCGTTGAGGTCGTGTGAAGACCTCTCCTCCCGTTGAGGTCGTGTGAAGACCTCTCCTCCCGTTGAGGTCGTGTGAAGACCTCTCCTCCCGTTGAGGTCGTGTGAAGACCACTCCTCCCGTTGAGGTCGTGTGAAGACCACTGCACCTCACCCTCCAATGAATGGTCTCTATGTTGGGTGAGTGGTGGTGGTGGTGTGTGAAGAGCTCCTCTTCTCCCTGAGATTCCAGAGGGAGGTGTGGTCTCCTCTACGAGTGTTAAGGTGTACCGAGTTCTCCTCCCTCTGAGAATCTCCTCTAAGCTTCAAGAGTCACCAGCTGACGGCCAGACATGTTTACCTCAGCCATGTTAGCCAACCCTATCGACATTTGTGCTATTCTCTGCTCCTGCAATATATATATTTTTTTCATAGTGATATACATTTTTGAGTAGATCATGTCCTGTTTAGTTGAGAAATTTAGCTGATTGTTACTCACATGTATTTGGGGTACCTTTATAAAGTAAAACAATTCAATAACAAATGAGCTGTGTTGTTCATGTTGTGGATCAGCAGGAACTTGTCACTTGTCACTCTAGTATAGATCATTTCAATTGGTGTTTGTAAAGCAAGTACAGAAATATACATTTTTTCGTGTTGTATCATTCTTATAATAATTTTAACATCAATTGAAAATCAAAAATATTTTGACATCGAAAACAAATAAAATGTCGCATAACAAACATATATAAATATGAATATATTTGTGTATACACAAATATGCATAAAAAGAATAGTTTTAACATTATTTCCTAAATACAAGTCTGTTGGAGTGTTGGTAATATATTTGTCTGTGAAATTATGTACCATTTTAATTTTATACAAAATATTTCCTTGTATTCCTGACAACTGCAGCTAAACCTTGTTCAGTAATTATATAGGCCTATTATGCATATATCACCTCAATATTGCTAAGTTGCATGTGTGTTGTTATTATTGAAATGTTTGAAGTGAATTATAGCAAATTACTCTTAAATATTTAATGATATAACCCAGCATGTAATTAATAATATTAAAGCCACATAGTATCCAGCAGTGGTGTGATGACGGGCGATGCAGGAGGGTTGGCACGCGTGCGACAAAGGAAGGCCCCACTGCCTGGCGTCGCTTAACACCCCCTTTGATTTATCACTATTTCTTGCCTCTACTGTTGAAGGCGCTATATCGCTCGTGATCACCATTACAAGAGCCCGAGCGCCTGGCAATCATGGTAAGTTTCCTCGTACCCAGTGATGACAAGCGACAGTAAGGCCAAATAATCATCTCGGAGCCTACCATTATCCGCCCCCCTAAGCTTGCTGTCAAGTGAGACCGTATTTACAACCTTTCCTCTCTCCAAGATTTGTAATGCGTTATTTCTCAAACTGTTGTATCGTTATTGTCTAATGAATATTGAATCATTGGTATAGCATTCGTGTTGTTGTGAAGAGAGATAAGCAGCTCTGACCTAGTGACTGGCCAGGCTCTAGACGTGAAAGCTGCAGTGCTCTTCTGTACTAAAGTCAATATAAACACTTGTTCATTTACATACGAGTTGTTTCGTCAGTAAAGACAAAAGTTCAGAAATGGTCAGGAAGCTTCTAGCTAGAAGCAATACATCTCTGTATTTTATCATGTTTGGTGTCTAAAGAAAAAATATATATTTATATTTTCTATACTATAATTTCTGAGACACTATGTGGGAATATAAATTACCATCTACTCTTCCGTTGAAATAAACATCCCATTCACCTGGACTGTACGAGTCTCGAACTGCGGACCCCACTTAAAGGGTCCGCTATAGGAACTATTTGGGAAATAACGTAATTTTTCAAATGTTTTATTTTGAATTGGAAGTATTGAATTTTTTAGATGGTTGATGTTTCCTGCTCCAAACAATGACTCAAATATTGTGACAAGAAACACTGGTAGTTTCTGATAATATACCTATTGTTGGAACAGGAAGCTTGTTAGTTATAAATGTCCCCTAGCCTAAGATAAGGATACTGTGCGAGTTTCCATCCAATTATTGGCCAGATCCAGATATGGGCTGCTTCCTGGGGTGTGTGTGTGTGTGTGGAAAAAATAATTAGTAGTTAGCAACAGTTGATTGATTGACAGTTGAGAGGTGGGCCGAAAGAGCAGAGCTCAACCCCCACAAGCTCAACTAGGTGAATACAACTAGGTAAATACAGCACCTTAAATTAAATAAAATACCTTGCAACACAATCCTAATGCTATACAGAAAATGTGAAAGAGAAACATATTAAATAACATGATAAACTTTTATGACTTTCCAATGAACTTCAATTTCCCAAACACTGGACTCTGATAAGACAAGTATTCGTGAAAGCCACACACTTGGCCCCAAATGCACGCTGGCAGCAAAGAAGAGGAATTGCAGTGCCAGCATGATAGCACTAGAAACCTCAGGATCAGAAGATGGCTGTACACATGAAATAATTAAAGCCACCATCACAGTAAAATAACCCTTCAGCTGTGCATGTCAAACAGGGGCAATTGTGCCATATCTGGCCACGTTGCACGAGTCAAAGGGATGATATTGAGTACCATGTAAGATTTCCCGTGCATACACAGGGCTCATATTTGCTTCATAGGCCTCCAGTTAACAGATGGCATGTTGGAGAAAAGTTTTGAGCAGGCCTCCTGAGAGTGAGGGCTTATTATTGAGAAGAGAACCACGTGTAGTGCATGCTGCAGCAGCTCACAGCAAAGCAATGCAGCTTGTGCCCATAGTATCAATTAATATGGATGAAATAAATAATTAACTGTGATCATTTTGCATTGATAGTGCCATAAATGATTGATAAAGACTATGTACTAGTACAAGGTTCTGATATCATTGAACACTATGCTGGTTATGATGTTGACAGCAGAGGCAGATATTCACAGCCACAGTTTTGTGCATCTATGCAGCATGAAACATGACCTTGTGTTCCTCTAGAAAATAAATTTGTGGAAAGTTATTCATATTCATGATTTAGTGACATGATTGATACTACACAATTATCAGAATTAGGTTTTGTCACTATGAGGACAAAGTTTTGACAAACATACAGCCCCCACTGTCCTCTTGAATCATCATCTAACAGGGAGGGAAAGAGGATTTCACCTCCTCACCCTCTGCCTTATGCACAGGATGTTAGGCCAAAGCAGTCATCAGACAGGAAGCTGTCAGAGAAAAGTACACAGGTGTGAAACCAAAACTGTCACTCATCCTGCACTAAACTAAACACTGCAATCAAGGAGTCTCACACTTAGCTGGCAAGGTGGCAACTGAAACAAAGTTAGTCTCAAACAGAAATACTGTACGTGAAAACAACTCCATGACAATGAAAGATAGCAAAAAAAACAAAAAACACTCTTGGAACTACAAAATGTCTCGGACCCCAGTCCAAAACTGAGCCAGAAGAGAGAGATTCAACTTCCAAATCTCATCTAGGAAGCCATGTGAGGAAGCATTGGAAGACTTGAATCCTTACTCCAAAGATGCACACAAAAACTGTGGACTCCAAGACACTTCTATGACAAGAGGTAGCAGCACATGAAACACCTATGACGCCTCCCCCCCCCCCCACCTAAAAAAAAACTGCCATAACTTTGTAAATGGAAAATGGCAAGTTAAAATTAACTTGCACAGAGTAAACTGCAAAACCCTAACCCAATCAAATGAACCAAAACATTTGGAAATGTAGCTGAAGAAGACCCAAGGAGGCATAAACTGACAAGAGTAAACAAAAAAATTCTCCCTCTTCTGTTAAAAATAAATATAAATACAGTACTGTACATACTGTAAGTGTAGTTTTTTTTCCTATATTATTATGTCTGAGAAGACCTTAACATTACTTATTATGCAGTATTTTATTGCACTTTCAATTTTTTCTTAAATTAGGCTACTGTATCTCTGTAATGTGTTACCTATATTGGGCTATCTTCGTACTGTATATCTACAAAGATAGCTAGATCGTAAATATTCAGTTTTCACTTTTTAAGGTAATATTTAGACAAAAAAAAGTAACATTCAAAATGCTATTGATATGTGGTACTATACAGCATATCCATTATTATATGGTTTTTATTTTGTTCGTTGTTGTTTCAGGTAAGTCTTCCTGCATGGGCAGTGCTTCAACAGGTAAGACGTATCTGTAAGTCTGTGTTATTGCTTGTTCATAATTGTTAATCTCCTCCATTTATAGTCAAGGCCCCAGCCCTCATGAGAATGTATTCACAGTAAATTTAGTTATTAATAACTTATTTGTCCAGAGAATGTTGGACTATCCAGAAAGAATGACACTCCAAAATAACAGAACAAGTGAATACTTTAATAATCTAATGATATTTCACCCCACTATACCAAATTAATCACCAGTTCCAATGTACATAATAGTCTGGGGTGAAATAATATTGTAGCAGGGAGCCGGTCGGCCGAGCGGACAGCACGCTGGAATTGTGATCCTGTGGTCCTGGGTTCGATCCCAGGCGCCGGCGAGAAACAATGGGCAGAGTTTCTTTCACCCTATGCCCCTGTTACCTAGCAGTAAAATAGGTACCTGGGTGTTAGTCAGCTGTCACGGGCTGCTTCCTGGGGGTGGAGGCCTGGTCGAGGACCGGGCCGCGGGGACACTAAAAGCCCCGAAATCATCTCAAGATAACCTCAAGATAGCATATGATGGTATTTCAACTACTACTCCACAGAGAAACACACTAAGATACTGTACTTTAAGCCTGGGGTAATGCTGTGGAGATGTGCCTATCTAAAATAGGTATAAAATACTTAATTCTGTCAACAAACTTCTACTACGAATTAACAGAATTCACTTCGGTAACTATCTATAACAGGGTAGACTATGCTAGGCAAAAATAAGTGTACTTAAAGGTGTAATAGGCAGCTTAACCAACAACTGCTGCTCATCCCAGTGTAAACAAGGAACTGAACTGAAGGTCCTTTGATCAGCTCGACCTCTAAAGCAAAGGCCCAAAGTCCATTCCATTCACCCACCATACCCCCTGTTTTCCTGTTTATGAATGAAAGACGGTTTACATACGACTAGCAACTGATGACGTCCGAAGACTTCCGGAACAAGTGCTTCATTGACAACTTTTGTTCGAACTACAATGCTGTAAGTGCTTCACCCACATATTAAAAGTACAAATATTCGCCAACAGAACCTAAACACCTAACCTAACCAGTGCCTAAATATGCACAATATACTAATATATAATAATATTAATTTATAGTTGAGAAAAGTTCTGCTTTGAATGAACAGAATGTTAAAATTGATGAATGGGTCTTTGGGGTCGATCGCTGGATAGAATGGACTTGGTCTGAGGACGAGTTGCCTCGATACATCGGTAGATTTCCTGAGAAGCTCTGCCCACATTGTGCTTGTCATTTAAGGGTTTCAGTGGCAACACACACTCGCCCCACATTTTGCGACCAATTTGGCCTAGGTTCCTGTCCTGGCTGGGGAGGATTAACTAGGCACCAATCCTTAACTGTATGCCTCTGTTCATCAAGCAGTGATTGGGTACCTGGTTCTTAAATAATTGGTGGGTCATATTCCAGGTAAACTAGTGGGTAAGGCTGACCAGGAGCTATGTGATGGGAAAGCTCTCAGCCTGCCAACAGGAGTCGGCAGTTTTCTTTTCATATACCCACCTGTATAAATTTTAAGTGAAAATAGAATGATTAAGGAAGGGATTATTGGAAATTCCAACATAGGATGACGCGTTTTTAGCCTCGTCAAAATGCTATAATGTAGTGAAGGACCCAGATAAGAGTTGGCTTTATTGGATTGGTTTGCTTAATCAAACATAATACAGTATTCAAAACTTGGAGAGTGGTTATCATAAACACTTTGCTTCCTCCATTGTTAAATTATTTTCCACAAGAACAATATAAATTTGAAAGTCATGTTTGTGTTGAAAAGGAAAGTTCACGATTCTTGTGGTGCAGTGTTCAGTGCAGCCTGGTCACAGCTGAAATGTCTTGAGTTTATTTCCTGTGACTGTGGAAGGCAGTGGTCCCCTTTCACCTCAGGTCTCTGTTCACTTGTCAGTAAAGTGTTCCTGGTAGTTAGACAACTGTTGCGGGTTACATCCTGGGGATGGTCAGTAGTTGGCCTGGAGATCTCTCCAAGTCTAACAGGCTTCCTGTGCCCAATTATGGGAAACAAACCATTGTGCAGGGCACTGAGCTTAGTGTATATAGTCAACCAGAGAAAGTATATGATCCCAAGTTCTACCTTGCATGTTTGCCATTTGGTCATATGTGCAAGAGATGTTTCCAATTTTCCCATCTTATAACTGTTTGTATTCAGTCATATTAAATGCTGTTGACTTTATCTTGTGAAGATTTGCTACTTAAACTTTAATTGATCACTAAACAACAATTGTGGAATATTGTAGTCAACTTCAGTCAATGATTGGTACAGTGTTGGGCATAGGGGAAAAATGACCGGTTGGTGGAGGGTCACTGGTTGGTGGAGGGTCACTGGTTGGTGGAGGGTCACTGGTTGGTGGAGGGTCACTGGTTGGTGGAGGATAGAGGGTCACTGGTTGGTGGAGGGTCACTGGTTGGTGTGGGGTGGAGGGTCACTGGTTGGTGGAGGATGGAGGGTCACTGGTTGGTGGAGGATAGAGGGTCACTGGTTGGTGGAGGGTCACTGGTTGGTGGAGGGTCACTGGTTGATGGAGGGTGGAGGGTCACTGGTTGGTGGAGGGTCACTGGTTGGTGTGGGGTGGAGGGTCACTGGTTGGTGGAGGGTCACTGGTTGGTGGAGGATAGAGGGTCACTGGTTGGTGGAGGGTCACTGGTTGGTGTGGGGTGGAGGGTCACTGGTTGGTGGAGGGTCACTGGTTGGTGGAGGGTCACTGGTTGGTGGAGGGTCACTGGTTGGTGTGGGGTGGAGGGTCGGTTGATGGAGGGTCACTGGTTGGTGGAGGGTCACTGGTTGGTGGAGGGTCACTGGTTGGTGTGGGGTGGAGGGTCACTGGTTGGTGGAGGGTCACTGGTTGGTGGAGGGTCACTGGTTGGTGGAGGGTCACTGGTTGGTGTGGGGTGGAAGGTCACTGGTTGGTGGAGGGTCACTGGTTGGTGGAGGGTCACTGGTTGGTGGAGGGTCACTGGTTGGTGTGGGGTGGAAGGTCACTGGTTGGTGGAGGGTCACTGGTTGGTGGAAATAAAAATAACGGAAATGCTTCGGCAGACACAACTATCACAAGCAAGGAAAACAAGCCTAAGCAGGGAGATCTAAGAAATGGAACAAACGTTGAAGCGATCATATGAGTGAGGAAATGGAATTGGAACAGAAAGCTATACAAGAGATAAGGAAAAATACGAAATATTTTTTCACATACTCAAAATCCAAATCCAAAACCCCGACCAGTATTGGACCGTTAATTACAAATGAAGTTACGTACACAGAGGACAACAAAGAGATTAGTGAAATTCTAAGAAGCCAGTATGAGGCTATGTTTAGCACACCAATAAACAACATGAAAGTTGATGACCCAGACAGCTTCTTTATGAATGACATTCAAGTTGCAGATAATATAACGGATATTACCACAAACTCGGAAGACTTTGAAAGAGAAATTGACAATATGCCTATGCACTCAGCTCCTGGGCCTGACTCATGGAATTCAATATTCATAAAGAAATGTAAAGTACCAGTAGCGAGAGCACTCAGCGTAATATGGAGAAAGAGCCTGGATACAGGGGAGATACCAGCAGCACTTAAATCTGCAGATATAGTTCCGTTGCACAAGGGGGGGAGTAAAGCCTTGGCAAAAAATTATAGGCCAGTTGTAGTAACATCACACATAATAAAAGTGTTTGAAAGAGTGATTAGGAATCAAATTTCTAGTTTTATGGAAAACAATGAAAAACACATTCGAATCTGCCCATAGTAGAAAAACAGCATGTCAAGGATTTGGGAATAATGATGTCCGACGATCTAACGTTTAGTGAGCATAACCAAGCAAATATCGCGTCAGCCAGAAAAATGATCGGATGGATTGCGAGAACTTTCAAATCCAGGGATCCCATCACAATGGTTGTACTCTTCAAGTCACTTGTGTTGTCTCGTCTCGAGTACTGCTCAGTACTCACTTTCCCCTTCAGAGCAGGAGAGATTGCTGAAATAGAGGGAATACAGAGAACATATACGGCACGCATAGACGAGATAAAACACCTAAATTATTGGGATCGTCTCAAAGCTCTCCAAATGTACTCTCTAGAAAGGAGACGAGAGAGATACCAAATAATATACACATGGGAAATACTGGAGGGTCAGGTCCCAAATCTACACAGTAAAATAACAACGTACTGGAGTGAACGATATGGAAGAAAATGCAAGATTGAACCAGTGAAGAGCAGAGGTGCCATAGGCACAATCAGAGAGCACTGTATAAACATCATAGGTCCGCGGCTGTTCAACGTCCTCCCGGCGACTATAAGAAATATTGCCGGAACAACCGTGGACATCTTCAAGAGGAAACTGGACGGTTTTCTAAGAGAAGTTCCGGATCAGCCGGGCTGTGGTGGGTACGTGGCCCTGCGGGCCGCTCCAAGCAACAGCTTGGTGGACCAAACTCTCACAAGTCGAGCCTGGCCTCGGGCCGGGCTTGGGGAGTAGAACTCCCAGAACCCCATCAACCAGGTGGAGGGTCACTGGTTGGTGGAGGGTCATTGGTTGGTGGAGGGTCACTGGTTGATGGAGGGTCATTGGTTGGAGGGTCACTAGTTGATGGAGGGTCATTGGTTGGTGGAGGGTCACTGGTTGGTGGAGGGTCACTGGTTGATGGAGGGTCACTGGTTGGTGGAGGGTCACTGGTTGGTGGAGGGTCACTGGTTGGTGGAGGGTCACTGGTTGATGGAGGGTCAATGGTTGGTGGAGGGTCACTGGTTGGTGGAGGGTCACTGGTTGGTGGAGGGTCACTGGTTGGTGGAGGGTCACTGGTTGGTGGAGGGTCACTGGTTGGTGGAGGGTCACTGGTTGGTGGAGGGTCACTGGTTGGTGGAGGGTCACTGGTTGGTGGAGGGTCACTGGTTGGTGGAGGGTCACTGGTTGGTGGAGGGTCACTGGTTGGTGGAGGGTCACTGGTTGGTGGAGGGTCACTGGTTGGTGGAGGGTCACTGGTTGGTGGAGGGTCACTGGTTGGTGTGGGGTGGAGGGTCACTGGTTGGTGGAGGGTCACTGGTTGGTGGAGGGTCACTGGTTGGTGGAGGGTCACTGGTTGGTGGAGGGTCACTGGTTGGTGGAGGGTCACTGGTTGGTGTGGGGTGGAGGGTCACTGGTTGGTGTGGGGTGGAGGGTCACTGGTTGGTGTGGGGTGGAGGGTCACTGGTTGGTGGAGGGTCACTGGTTGGTGTGGGGTGGAGGGTCACTGGTTAGTGTTGTTGTGGAGTGTGTGTGTGGCTGGTGGTGGTGATGGGGAAGGGAGGTAGCTGGCAGTGTGAGTGTGGGGTAGGGTCACTGGTTTATATGTGGAAGGGTGAATGGATTGGCTCCAGGGAGAGGTCGAGAGAGAAAAAAGTGGACTTATTTGACTGGTATCGACTGTTGGGATTGAGTGGAGGTGTATCCGGGTTGTGGTGTTTGGGCGGCCAGGAATGGTCATTCATGAGGTCTTGGCTTGTCAACATGACGCCGTCTCCACACATGTGTGTGTGAAAGTAGCAAATTTCATTAACTCATAGTTTTAAATAACACTGGCTGGTGAGCGATGTTGACTGGAGTGAGACTTTGTGTTTATTCTTTGGTATGCGCTTAAGAGCACCGCGGCGTAGGGACGAGAATAGCATACGTTGATGAGGTCGTGTTGTGAAGGCTGCATGCCTCTCCCGAATACAGCTTCCTCTTATTCCTATTTTGGTGCGTTTAATAATTTTACAATAATTTATTGTATTTGCATATAATGATTACCATGATACAAGTTTACACTTCATTTCACGGTGGCTAGCTTCACCACAAACTGGGTGTACATGAAGGTATGCGGCAAGCTGGCAACTCGTGCTGGTGAGTTCGGGGTGTGTCTCCAGTGTGTTTGTCAGTATCTCTCTACTTCTTGTGGTGGTAGGGCGCCATATTCCTCCCTGTTGTTTCCTCAGCCGCTGCGTTATATGTAAAGTTAACTCAAAATCTAGTGACACGCTCAGGGATGGGTTTGTCCAGAGGGGAATATGTGACTGGCCGTTTCTAAAATGGATGTCAAGTAACCTGAGCTTACGCAGGCTGATGCTGAGTATGTTAAGTGTGACCAGGACAGCACACTACTGTTACTTGCTGGTGCAAAGTGTCTGGACATGGAGTGTTTTGGCGTATGTGGTGAAGGTCATAACATCCTTTCCCTCCACTCCTAAGTCAGGAACTTGATACAGTGAGACGGTGGCTCTTGTAATTAGCAAGTGATAATGACAAGTGTGTTGGGAGCGCGGCTGTAGCCTAGAGATTTTGGCGTGTGTAATGTCTGGTTTCTTGCGCAGGGGGAAGAATTTGAGAGAGAGAAGTTGCGGTAATGTAGTGATTTCAACGCAGGTGGTAGCTGTGATCCCAGTGAACTGCCACACACAGCTAGGTGCGGCTCGCCAGCTTTCTCCCGTCTATCTTGTCCTCTTCCTAGCCATGTAGACATTTGTTAGGCACAGTGCGCGCACTTTATCGTGTTGATATCGTATGGAGGTTCCGCTGACCGATATCCTTTTGGTGAAACGGGTGAAACCGTTTTGTCAAACTGTTTCCGACGACTTAATTTCCATCAGAAAATGTGCAGCGTAAGACATTTATAATGTATACAAAAGTGACGTTGGCCACACCCTCTTGTCAAGTCCGTTTTACAGCACTTGGCTCTGGCCTAAATTCCACATCAATCAGTGCTCTCAGTCATCTAGAAACAGTGATTAATTCATAGTTTTCACTGGTCACACTACCTTGCTAAAGTGAATAAGCAACTTGTAGAGGTCATTGTGTGCTTTATTTGGCCAAACACGGGGTAAACTAAACCCAATTTCTCTGCTTAAATTATGTTTTCCTCCTTGAGTTACATAAAATATAATGAATAACTTTGATTCACGGAATTTGTCATAGTCTTCAGAAATGTGTTGACACACCCCCAACAGGAGTGTGTAATATTAAATTAATTCTATCTTGCAAATTCTTCAGTCAACTGAAGAACATATATTATTATTATGTATATATTGGGTACTGTACTTGTCAACAAGGCAGAAATCGAGAAACCCGATATATTAATTAATATATCGAGAAACCCGATATATTAATTAATATATCGATTAATATATCGAGAAACCCGATATATTAATTAATATATCGATTAATATATCGAGAAACCCGATATAATATCATTCTTTGGAGAATACTTTAAAAGTGTCTGTCACTGACAAGCGTTTCAATATATAGCTGAAATGTGTGTGTTAGGATTGGTTAAAATAGTTTGTGGAGGAGCACTGGTTGTGCTGTACGGTAGTTGTGGTAAGGTTGGTTGTGTGGTTGGAGGGTGATGGTAAGGTTGGTTGTGTGGTTGGAGGGTGATGGTAAGGTTGGTTGTGTGGTTGGAGGGTGATGGTAAGGTTGGTTGTGTGGTTGTAGGGGGGTGGTAAGGTTGGTTGTGTGGTTGGAGGGTGGTGGTGGTAAGGTTGGTTGTGTGGTTGGAGGGTGGTGGTGGTAAGGTTGGTTGTGTGGTTGGAGGGTGGTGGTGGTGAGGTTGGTTGTGTGGTTGTAGGGTGGTGGTGGTAAGGTTGGTTGTGTGGTTGGAGGGTGGTGGTGGTAAGGTTGGTTGTGTGGTTGGAGGGTGGTGGTGGTAAGGTTGGTTGTGTGGTTGGAGGGTGGTGGTGGTAAGGTTGGTTGTGTGGTTGGAGGTTGGTGGTTGTTTGGTTGGTTGTGTGGTTGGTGGGTGGTGGTGGTAAGGTTGGTTGTGTGGTTGGAGGGTGGTGGTGGTAAGGTTGGTTGTGTGGTTGGAGGGTGGTGGTGAGGTTGGTTGTGTGGTTGTAGGGTGGTGGTGAGGTTGGTTGTGTGGTTGTAGGGTGGTGGTGGTGAGGTTGGTTGTGTGGTTGGAGGGTGGTGGTGGTGAGGTTGGTTGTGTGGTTGGAGGGTGGTGGTAAGGTTGGTTGTGTGGTTGGAGGGTGGTGGTGGTAAGGTTGGTTGTGTGGTTGGAGGGTGGTGGTGGTAAGGTTGGTTGTGTGGTTGGAGGGTGGTGGTGGTAAGGTTGGTTGTGTGGTTGGAGGGTGGTGGTGGTAAGGTTGGTTGTGTGGTTGGAGGGTGGTGGTGAGGTTGGTTGTGTGGTTGTAGGGTGGTGGTGAGGTTGGTTGTGTGGTTGTAGGGTGGTGGTGGTGAGGTTGGTTGTGTGGTTGGAGGGTGGTGGTGGTGAGGTTGGTTGTGTGGTTGTAGGGTGGTGGTGAGGTTGGTTGTGTGGTTGGAGGGTGGTGGTGAGGTTGGTTGTGTGGTTGGAGGGTGGTGGTGGTGAGGTTGGTTGTGTTGTTGTAGGGTGGTGGTAAGGTTGGTTGTGTGGTTGGAGGGTGGTGGTGAGGTTGGTTGTGTGGTTGGAGGGTGGTGGTGGTAAGGTTGGTTGTGTGGTTGTAGGGTGGTGGTAAGGTTGGTTGTGTGGTTGGAGGGTGGTGGTGAGGTTGGTTGTGTGGTTGGAGGGTGGTGGTGGTGAGGTTGGTTGTGTGGTTGGAGGGTGGTGGTGGTGAGGTTGGTTGTGTGGTTGGAGGGTGGTGGTGGTGAGGTTGGTTGTGTGGTTGGAGGGTGGTGGTGGTGAGGTTGGTTGTGTGGTTGGAGGGTGGTGGTGGTGAGGTTGGTTGTGTGGTTGTAGGGTGGTGGTGAGGTTGGTTGTGTGGTTGGAGGGTGGTGGTGGTGAGGTTGGTTGTGTGGTTGTAGGGTGGTGGTGAGGTTGGTTGTGTGGTTGGAGGGTGGTGATGGTGAGGTTGGTTGTGTGGTTGGAGGGTGGTGTTGGTGAGGTTGGTTGTGTGGTTGGAGGGTGGTGATGGTGAGGTTGGTTGTGTGGTTGGAGGGTGGTGATGGTGAGGTTGGTTGTGTGGTTGGAGGGTGGTGGTGGTGAGGTTGGTTGTGTGGTTGGAGGGTGGTGGTGAGGTTGGTTGTGTGGTTGGAGGGTGGTGGTGGTGAGGTTGGTTGTGTGGTTGTAGGGTGGTGGTGAGGTTGGTTGTGTGGTTGGAGGGTGGTGATGGTGAGGTTGGTTGTGTGGTTGGAGGGTGGTGGTGAGGTTGGTTGTGTGGTTGGAGGGTGGTGGTGGTGAGGTTGGTTGTGTGGTTGTAGGGTGGTGGTGAGGTTGGTTGTGTGGTTGGAGGGTGGTGATGGTGAGGTTGGTTGTGTGGTTGGAGGGTGGTGATGGTGAGGTTGGTTGTGTGGTTGGAGGGTGGTGATGGTGAGGTTGGTTGTGTGGTTGGAGGGTGGTGGTGGTGAGGTTGGTTGTGTGGTTGGAGGGTGGTGGTGAGGTTGGTTGTGTGGTTGGAGGGTGGTGGTGGTGAGGTTGGTTGTGTGGTTGTAGGGTGGTGGTGAGGTTGGTTGTGTGGTTGGAGGGTGGTGATGGTGAGGTTGGTTGTGTGGTTGGAGGGTGGTGGTGGTGAGGTTGGTTGTGTGGTTGTAGGGTGGTGGTAAGGTTGGTTGTGTGGTTGTAGGGTGGTGGTGGTAAGGTTGGTTGTGTGGTTGTAGGGTGGTGGTAAGGTGTGTAGAGACAGGCCTCGGGCTACCTAGACCCTACTGCTCTCATAGGTACGTTGGTCCTGTTCTCCGCTCTGCTTGCCTTTGAAAATATCTAGCGTCACATTTTTATTAATTTTTTTTAATTGTTTTAATTTTGATAGTTTTGTGTTTTTGTTTCTTCGTATTCATTATCACTTGAACTGAATTCCTCTCTGAAATCAAGTTCCAATAAGTTTATTGTGGTATAAATACACACAAAGGGTTGAGGTTTCTCAAGCTAAAGATATGTATGATGGTCAGGGTAAGTAGCTTTGAAATAAAGATATATTAGTATCTATTACTTCAAGCTTAGCCTAGCCTATCTTGAACTTAAAAATAAGCAAAACAAACTCACTCACTCTCTCTGTCTCTCTTTTTTTTTACCTACCTGTACTGCAGCAGACCAGGCGGGAGACATTTACTGAGTGGTTGTTGTTGTTTAAGATTCGCTCCTTGGAACAAAAAACTCCAAGTAGCACGGGCTATGGTGAGCCCGTAGTGGACTTTTTTTTTCATGAGTGGTGTTGGTACACACGGGCAGAGATGTTACCCTTGTGCCCTCTTAGTTTAATGCTCACCATTTGACAACAAAGGTCAGCCATGTTGGTTGAGAAAAGTACCACATTCTTTTCAAAGACGCCTTCCCAAAATATGCCTATATTTTATCTATCGTTTTCATGTGTTTATTCCTTTAAAAACTACTCAAGTTGATTTAAACAAACATTTGGTATGTATGAGTTGTCCTGCAAGCGTGATTAGAATGAGAAATGAACAAATCCACAAGGGCCGTGACGAGGATTCGAACCTGCGTCAGAGAGCATACCAGACGCTGTCTTAATCGACTGAGCTACAACATGGAAAAAGAATTATAACCAGAAATTCTATTGAATTGGATCCTGCAGCCTCTCCGAGACACAAACCAGGATTTTACACAATTCCCCCCATGCATTCGAGCTATGTCAATAGGCCGTTCTATCTCTTTACTTTCATTACACATTTGATACATCACGCTGTTGTGATTTGTGTATGCAGATTGAGACACTTTATTCTTGGCAACTTGTATGAGTCACTACAATAATGGCTGCACTAAACAAGTATACAACAATTTAAGGCAAACTTACATTTTTTTGCATAAAGTGAGAAGCATTTAGATTATAATATGAAGGGTGATGTGTATTGGGTGAAAGCAAAGTGTAGCGTTCTATTATAGCAGGAAGACAGATATTGGCGGCGTCTGGGATGCTCTCGGGCGCAGGTTCGAATCCTCGTCACGGCTCTAGTGGATTTCTTCTATTGACATAATTTATAGGCGAGACTGAGGTTTGCTTCGTGCTCCCGACGGGTCCATGGAGAGACAGGAGCCGTGCAGGAACACCTGTCTCTTGTCAGACAACAACCCGTGTTGCCAGCGTCAAGAAACTGCCGGACTTAAAGTGCCCTTACTCTAACCTATCACAGGACCTAAACCAGCAAATGGGACTGTGTCAATTTCGCGAGCCGCTACCGTTTTCTAGTACGGCCATTTTAGGCCTCGGGTAAAGTATGTGTCAAAATGCTTGGCTGTATTAGGAGGACAAGTCTCTCTGTCCTCTGTCCTCCTCTCTGTATTAGGAGGACAAACTCACACGTCAAGCCTGGCCTCGGGCCGGGCTTGGGAGTAGAAGAACTCCCAGAACCCCATCAACCAGGTATCAACCAGACAGATTGTAGAGAGGCACACCCGACCCTCCTGCTTCTTGCCATATAGAATCTTGAAACTATTTAATTGTTTGTGTTAGCCTTCTTCATCTTTCTTTGTGTCTTTTCATCTTTTCAGCTATCTTAGCCTATTCCATTTATCCATCATTATTTTTGATATACCTGTTGTCAAGAAATTAGAGTTGGTTCGTTAAGGAGGGCTTGCTGAAGTCATATTGCTGTTATCTTCTTGAGGTTATCTTGAGATGATTTTGGGGCTTAGCGTCCCCGCGGCCCGGTCCTCGACCAGGCCTCCTTTTTGTTACACATCCCCAGGATATGTGCCCGTAGCAGCTGTCTAACTCCCAGGTACCTATTCACTGCTAGCTGAACAGGGCATCAGGGTGAAAAAAACTCTGCCCATTTGTTTCCGCCTCCACCGGGGATCGAACCCGGAATCTCAGGAGCCCGTAGGTTGGAGACTTGACGAATCGCTGACTTCGTCGTGTTTGGGGGGGGGGCTTGTTACCTGAGCGGTGCAGGAATAGACATTGTTAGGCACTGCCTCCCCGTTATAAGTGGTGTTGATTGTTGCAAGCTGGCCAGTGGTTAGCAGCAAGGGGAGGGTGTGGTTGTGCCCATCTTGATGCTTGAACCTCTGCCACCACCACCACCACCACACCCAAGGCTGCTGTCGGTCGGTTGTAGAGATTTGTTGGATATTGTGTGCAGGGGTTGAGTCAAGGCGGTGTTTGTTAACTTGCAAGTGACTGCTCCTCCTCACTGCTGGCGTAACGGTCGCTAGTTCCTCAAACTGGTGTCTGGCTGTCACGTGATGCCCCCCCCCCCCTCTCTCGTGGAGGCCAGTTGTTGGATGGGCTGGTGACATGGTTGACCTCACCAGCTGTGTCACCAGGGCCAAGATTTATGTGGTATGACCCATTCCGTTTCAGGAACGACACCTTGTATTGCGCCAGTAATAACCGACTCTTGACTGCCTTGTTGCAATACCATTGACGGTCTTGTAATTATTGCAATATAAAAACATCGGATGGTGACCAATGCAAGCTCGCTGAGGGCACTAGCCAGCCGCGCGTGTGTGTGACCAGAAGGATTAATATTGAGTCATCCGTGATCAGAAGCGTGTGATCGTGTCTAGTGTTAGCTAGTAAGTGCTAAAGTGTGTGAGTGCGTGTGTTGAGGGATCAAGTAAGGAAGTGATCGCGTGCAGGCGAGGGCTCCTGCAGTTGTGTGCAACATCATTGCTTGTGGCAGGGATCACCACAACCACCGCGCGCACCACTCACAGACCTGCAGCGCCAGCACCACCGCCACCACCACCTGCATGTATTAGTGATGTGAGTATTGACTTGGGTTTATGCAGGATAATTAAAACAGCAGAAGGCCTATTGGCCCACACTAGGCAGCTCTTATTTATATTCCTCCAAACTCATTAATATATAATTATATATGAATGAAACACTCCATGGATCTTATGTCTGATTTGTTGCACAGTAATTTGTTCCATAAATCAACAGCCCTATTTCCAAATAGTGTTTATCCAGGGCTTTCCTAAATTTAAATATATCAATTTTTCGAAAATCTGGACCAGGATTCACGAAGCAGTTACGCAACTTCTTACGCTCAAGATAACCTCAAGAACGTGTACAACTTTCCTCAATCTTTGACGGCTTTGGTTACACTCATTAAACAGTTTACAAGCATGAAAATTTGCCAATCAACAGTTCCTATTGTTATAAACAGCCTCCTGGTGCTTCGGAGCTCATTAACTGTTTAATAAATATAAACAAAGCCACCAAAGATTGAGAAAAGATGGACAGGATCGTAAGTGCTTGCGTAACTGCTTCGTGAATCTAGCCCCCCCCCCCCCCCAGGTACCTAACAGTTTGTACTTGTACAGTACAACTATTCCATGCTACATTAAATCTGATTTCCTTGTGATCACTTTCCTTCTCTTGCTTCCCATTTGTTACTTGTCTCCCTGATAAATAACATGTCTAAAATTCAATTTTCCTGTGTTCTTTATTATGTCTTCTAAGGAAGCAATCAACAAATTGTAAAAGAAAATCTTCAGCATGCCTTCCTTTATTATTCAAAATGTCTTCTTCTGGTCACCTATAACACATTGGTAGACCTATAGGCCCCTAGTTATTTCTTTCCATGAATGTTTAGCTTCCGTTTTGTTGGCGTTTGGTGGCATATATATAACTCCTATTATTATTTTCATTAAATTATGTATATGCATATATGTGGATATATGTAGACGACGGGTCGCAATAACGTGGCTGAAGTTAACACAAGCGACTGGATAATGGGTCCAGGATGGACTGGAACGTCGTCGTCTCCTGTTCTGGTGTGTGGTGTGGTCAATAATATAACACATTTATACATATATACATACATGCATGCATGTGTAAAACTTGAGTGGTCCCCAAGTCAATATGCATCCCAAAACTCTTGACCTCTGAAGGAATCGAATCCGTTGGCCAGGATTTCCATGTCCCCGGCAGTCCAATGCATTCAGCCCGTCCTCCTAATGTTTCCCATTGTCAAGAAAACTGTCAAATTAAAGTGTCCTCTCCTAACCTATCAGAGGACCCAAAACAGAAAACGGGACAGTACGTCACTTTTTGTGAGTCGCTTCCATTTTCTACGACTAAATTTTGGCCTTGTGTAACGCATACGATCGAAATGCGACGTTCTTTGAAGGACGACAGGTTGGGCTTGAGACCTACATGCACCCAACACCCGGCAGCACTCGTGGCATTATTGAGCCACAAATGTCATCAAATCACTTGAATGGCTTGGGGACCACTCAAGCTTTACGCGCACTTGATACTCATGCTGAAGTGATTTGGTGAAATATGTCCTATACTGCCATGAGGGTTGTCGGGTGTTGGGACAACCCGTTCTCGCACTTTCTTTCAGTCAATATTGACTTATTAAATACGTGCCTATGTGACATACTAAACATACTAGTTTACCTTGAAAAGCTTCATAGAAAACACCGACCTTACCTAACCTTCTTAGTATGTTAAAATAAGCATCTTATTGCTTCGTAACTACAATTATTACTTAACCTATTATAGGTATAGGTTAAGTAATAATTGTAATTACGAAGCAATAAGATGCTTTTCTTAACATACTAAGAAGGTTAGGTAAGGTCGGTGTTTTCTATGAAGCTTTTCAAGGTAAACTAGTATGTTTAGTATGTCACATAGGCACGTATTTAATAAGTCAATATTGACTGTAAGAAAGTGCGAGAACGGGTTGGTTGGGGGCATTTAGGCCTCTGTGAGACTTCTCAACACGTCTCTCTATCTCTCTCTCTTCATTGTTTATTTTTCTTGATTTTTTATTATTTCTAAGTACAGTTATTGGTGTTTTTTTCTAGCGTGATTAATGTATTCACTCCATAATTTGCTGCCATCATACAATTTATTGGATAATATTTTACGAGGTCCCAACCCCTCTGCAATTTCCTGTCCCAAACAAGGACGACAGCTGGGTGTTCATTTTAGCCCTACTGGCTCAGAGATGTACCATGACTAGACCAGTGTACACTACAAACTGAACAAAGAACGACAAACCAACATCGGTTATCCAGCAAAGATATTGTACCAGATTGACCTCAAAGGGTATGCAGTCAAATTTCGAGTTAATTTAGCGTACTGTTAACTCCTTTTCTGAGGGTTTGGGAAGCATTTAATGCGAGCAAATGGCATGTTAGCAATATTTAATAGTTATCCACGTTGAAAGCATTAGTTAAGGTAACTATCATTGTTACCTTAACTAACGGCCTTGTTCGGTCGTTCACACAGACGGTGTGGCGTGCATTGCCGGCCGGTGGTGGTGGCGGCACGATGCTCTTAAGGTGATCAGTATATACTGATAGTGTGAAACTGCTAACGGTTTACGGGCTATTCATGCCCATGCCACCTCTTTGGTGGCTTAATCTTTATCGATCAATATGCTGACGGTGTTGTCGGACGGGGGAGACATCTCCCGTCACGCAGGGTGCAGTCGCACCTCCGCAGATCTCCAGTATCAGCTCTTGATACTGGTAATGGCTCCAAAGGGCCACCACTTACGGGCTATTCATGCCCGTGCCACCTTTTGGGTGGGTTAATCTTCATCAATCAATATGCTGACGGTGCTGTCAGAAGTGAGGTTGCTCTAGGTGTAAAATAAGTGTCTCCTACTGTGTCTCAAGATAACCTCAAGATAGTGCCTAAGTTCAGTAGTGTTGCAATGTGTTGTGTGGTGCCTCTTGTTTTGGTGGTTTTTGGCCGCTGTGCTGCTATGTGCCTCCCACCGGACGTTCCTTTAGCCTGGAGCTGTTTAACGCAACAAATTTCATTATACATTAAAATGGGTAAACATTGGTTTGGCAGTAGTCGTTGACGAACGGATCAGAAGACTGTTAAATGGCCTCATTGATGCAAATACGATCAGAAAATCGTGCAAAAACGGATCAGAAGACTATTAAATGGCCTCATTGATGCAAATAGTTTAGTAAGCTTTATACGTTATTAACATACATTGGCTGATTAAAAATAGTTGTAGAAATGATTTGCCTTGCAGAGCTTGTAGTTCCGAGCCATGTTGTGATGTAGTAGTTAGAGTATGCGCGAATTGTCTGCTTGCTCCTCCTACACAGGCTGGCCACACTAGCCTAGGACCTCGTCTCTGCTTGCTCCTCCCACACAGGCTGGCCACACTAGCCTAGGACCTCGTCTCTGCTTGCTCCTCCCACACAGGCTGGCCACACTAGCCTAGGACCTCGTCTCTGCTTGCTCTTCCCACGCAGGCTGGCCACACTAGCCTAGGACCTCGTCTCTGCTTGCTGCTCCCACACAGGCTGGCCACACTAGCCTAGGACCTCGTCTCTGCTTGCTGCTCCCACACAGGCTGGCCACACTAGCCTAGGACCTCGTCTCTGCTTGTTCCTCCCACACAGGCTGGCCACACTAGCCTAGGACCTCGTGTCTGCTTGCTCCTCCCACACAGGCTGGCCACATAGCTAGGACCTCGTCTAGCCTAGGACCTCGTCTCTGCTTGCTGCTCCTACACAGGCTGGCCACACTAGCCTAGGACCTCGTCTCTGCTTGTTCCTCCCACACAGGCTGGCCTAGGACCTCGTCTCTGCTTGCTCCTCCCACACAGGCTGGCCTAGGACCTCGTCTGACTCACCCCTCGTGTTTTCGTGTTGATATTGGTCCACGCCCGCGTGAGTCACTTACCAGTCCTGCCTCGGGAGATGTGTTATTGTTGATGCTTCCTGAAATTAAACTAAATTCCTTATTAAAGAAAATTATTTTACGATCTTAAGAGGTATAGGTCACTGGAATAACTTAGCTAACAACGTTTTTGGAGTTGTCTTTATTAGGTTTGCAGTTGATTATAAAAAATTATCTGAAAGAAGTTGAATTCTTATTTGTTTGTAAGACTGTTCCTACATAATACTTAGTGTTTAGCTGATGTTTGCAAACCCTTCCTTGGAGCCTGGAGGCTCTTGCCTAAATATAGCTTCAGAAGAACACTTGGGCCCTTTTGTATAATGCGACACTACCAAATATATGCTAATATCCTATATAACGGTGGATTGTTTCCCCATAAAAGGCACATCTGAACTACGCAGTTCCTTTAATAAAGGAACTAAACTGGAGCTGAAGGTTAATTTCAATTAAGATGTCGTGAGCTGAGGGTTAATTTCAATTAAGATGTCGTGAGCTGAGGGTTAATTTCAATTAATGTGTCGTGATATAGACTTAAGAAGAAAGGAATAGTGCTGCAGACTTGGTCTGTGCGAGCCAGGTCCTAGTTATTAGTCCCAAATTCTCGACACTCCTTTTATCGATGCAACTTTATCATGATGGTTTGGTAGTTTGAACCACTTGTCAGCAACTGTTACCAACTTGTGTTGATGTATATTCTTTCTTAATCAAAATTTGGCCAGTTTGAAACTATTATTGCTATTTGTTTTATAATAATAAATTTGGTAATTCGCAAGTGTGTTACTCCACACATGTTCTTAATGTTCGGGCATGTTCTTAATTCTAATTTTCGCCGGAATACGACTAGCCACGTCGTTTAACTACTAGGTACCCATTGCTGGGTGAACAGAAGCATACAGTTAAAGATTGGTGCCTAGTCAATCGTATCCGGGCAGAATAAGAACCCAGGGTAAAAAGCTTGCGAAGCACGGGACGAGTGCCGTACCACTGCGCCATGGGGACTGCTTATCTTATCTAGTGTTCACCTGTTGTTATAGATTCGGCTACTCAGAACAAGTTCCAAGTAGCACGGGCTATGGTGAGCCCGTAGTGGACTTACC